AGCTCTCACATCCATACATGGTAATAGGGAATTCAATGGTTTGTATGATTCTAACTTTCGTACTCAGTTGTATATCTTTACATATTAGGATCTTTTCTAGTTCTTTCATAGCTGCCCTCCGAATTCTTAGTCTTCTTATGATTTCTTGACTGCAGTCTCTGCTCAGATCAATGTTTGATCCTAGGTATGAGAACTCTTACTATTTCTATTTCCTGCTTTAAGGCTTGGTTGTTAGCCTAATGTAAAGCTCTAATCTGAAGATTACTGAACATAAGTCTCTGGAATTCAATTTTCAACCTCTGTATCACAAAATCCAGGAAGTGTACAGCCAGGCCATCAAAAAATATCTGCTCCCTGTCCAACTAGGGTTACCAGGCCTTTCAAACACCAACAGTGCTTTCTGTTGCCAGGCCAGCTCATGAAACAGGCCTATATAAAGCCTAATATTGTTGTCTGCCTTCAAATCATTTTGGACTTATCACAGATGTTTCTTGGCAAAATTTGTTCAGAAGCCCTCCTCTGTACTTGAGAGAGTGTTACTTGCCAAAGATCACACACTGGATGTCCATGGCTGAGTGGAGATTTGAATCCAAGTCTCCAGAGTCATAGCACAACACTTAGACCACTATACCATGCTGGCTCTCCTATAAAGCCTGCTTAGGTCAAAGATTAGACTTGTGTAAATCCCAGACTCAATAAGCAGCTACTTTCCTCCATCACCTGGGCCTATAGATCTTAGAGGAGGAAGAGTGGGTGCCATCCATGCTCACATCTGGTATGTAATTGAAGGCCATTTTGCTGCATACCAAATACTCAGGAGGTCAGTCTGTGTGGCGAGTAAATGCTCTTCCTGCTCTCACTGGGCCCCAAAATATGGGATTTGTAGTCGTTCTTCCCCAAAGACAAAAACATATGCTACCTGACTAGTCCCAACACCACCAGGCTCCTTTAGTACCAACCTTCTCCACTTTCAATGGCTTTGTGTATTGTAGCTGCTTCCTATAGGCTGAGGCGTAGCATAGTGGTTTGAGCATTGGGCTATGTCTCTGTAGACCAGGGTTCGAAACCCAGCTCAGCCATGAAAACCCACTGGGTGACCCTGGGCAAGTCACAATTACTCAGCCTTAGAGGATGGCAATGGCAAACCACTTCTGAACAAATCTTGCCAAGAAAATCCTGTGATAGGTTCACCTTACAGTCACCATGAATTGGAAATGATTTGAAGGCATACAACAAAAATGATTCATTTACCTGAATCACAGAAGTGTGATTCTTCTGGAGTCATGTAGATTCTGGAGTCCACTCGATGGAGAATAGCCATCTTTAACCAGCCATGTCTTTGCTGCAATCTGATTACATTTTAGATTCCAAGAAGAGGGTCAAAAAACAGGAATTCTATTATAGCAACAAAATTTAGTTCCTTTCCTACTTCCCCTTCCCTCCCCCCCCAAAAAAAATCCTGGCCCTGGGAATTTTTTTAATATAGTTTATACATATGACATTGTTACTAGTGGATTTAAACAGGAACAGCAAAAATTCATGTGATTTGGCATTTCAATTTATTTGTTTACTTAGTGCAGCAGAGAAATGTGCAGCCTAATTTAACAAAATAACCTGCCCCTTTGGCATTCTGGCAGCCCGCATAATATTATTTCTTGTTGCAGTTCATAACCTTGTCACTGATGGAATTCCCTCCCAGCCATAAGCTTCAGCATTTAAATGCCACACAGCCCATTTCAACCAGACTATGAGCATCTAATAGACACAAGGCGGTGCACCAATCTTCAGCAGACCCATGGCCTAATTGCCAGCCTCACCCATTTGCAAAACATAGCAGTAGGTAATGCTCCCAATTCCAATTTCTATCCTGTTGGTTTTGCTTTTGTATTTGGCAATATAAGGGAGTGCAAACAGAGAGATTTCAAAAGCACAGCCTTTTCACTGCAGGCAAAGGGGCTGCATTACAGTCATCTGTCATTTTCATAGAGGAATAGCTTGTTCTATATCTTCTGGCATGAGGGGCACACCTCCAGGTTGGCGCCAGGCATGCTAGTTGTGCCAGCTTCTCCGAAATAACCTAGGATGACACCATTGCACACAATATTTATCTATTACGTCTATATCTCTTTTTTCCAACAACAAGTACACAGCTTTCCTCCGCCTCATTTTATCCTCACAACAATCCTATGAAGTAGGTCAAGCTGAGAGAGAGTGACTGTGCAAAGTTCATCCAGTGAGTTTCATGACATAATTATAGTGAACCTGCTGAGGCCAACGCAATCCAACAATCCAACAAATACACCAAGCAAAACACCACATGGTATTTAATGCAGGCATCATCTTGGAGAGTCCTCACATTTCACTTCTGAAGTCCATCATTGCTATATTTTTGAATTTAAATTTCTTACCCCTGAGAAACATTTAAATTTCTTACCCCTGAGCTATGCTGTAAACACTATTTAAGGTTCCTAGCACAACATTTATTCCCTAGCTGGCATTAAGAGGAAAGGTGAAGACAGACGATGCTACAGAAAGGCAATAATTTGATGTGTAATACTGCATGGTTCATGTGCTGGCACATGGTATGCCTGATACTCTGTTATGGATGCTGTGGCAACTACAAGACAGATAGCAAGAGAGTGTTATGTTCCAATCCACAATCTAGCAGCTTGCAGTATTCAGATTTTTTTTAAAAAACAAAGTAACCAAAAGGCAAACTATTCTAGTTACTTTTGAGAAATGGGGAAAAGAAGCATTTTTCCATTTCTAACTATAATTGTAACTAGCGCTGCAATGTTAACCAATTACTTTTTAAAAAGTAATGTGCAAGCTATAATAACAATCACCCTTCTCTGTGTGCCTATATGTCTTCAAGTCGCCTGTCAGCTTAAAACCCCATGAATTTCACAAGGTTTTCTTAGGCAAGGAAAACTCAAGAGGTGGTTTTGCCAGCTTATAGCATCTGGTATTCCTTGGCTACAAACCAGGGCTAACCTTGCTTAGCTTCCAAGATCAGATAGGATCTAGTGTCTTCTATACTTGGGGTGAGGGTGGGGGTGGGGTAAAAGAGTATCATATCTACATGCCTATGATAGGATTTTTTGAGCGCTCTACTCTCCAAAATGGCCACTGATGGGTTTACCTAAGCTGCACTGTATCTTCTTAAACCAAGTTCCTGTGATCCACTATTATGATTTAAATTGCATAGATACAGTCACAAGAACTTGTAACAGTTTAAATATCTGTATTAAGTGATCCAGAGCAGGCAGTCTTGGCTGGTTCTCAGAAAAGTTACTTTTTGTACTACAACTCCCAGAATCATCCAGCCAGCATGGCCATACTACTCGAAGGATTTGCATTGTATTTTTAAAAGTATATTTTCCAAGCTCTGTTTTTAGACCTAAGTACTGCAGAGCAATACAAGAAGCACACTCCTGGACAGTTCAATCAGAAAATGGACAATAATCCACCAATGCATCACTGTCACGAGCGATACAAGCGATACAATGAACACGAAGTTCATTTGAAGAAAGTTTTGGAAATCAAAAGCCAAACAAGTCCTATCAACCATGCATTTTCATATGGAAAATTTGAAAAACAGGAAAAGAGAAAAATGTTATAAGCCAAAAAGCCAAAAAGAAGAATCATTTTGTGAGTGAGAGAACAATTTTAACAAGGATAGATGGGATGGAACAACAAGAGCCATCCCAGAGAATTCTTAAAAATACACTAGTTTCTGTTCTTTTACTGGCATGATTCTAGCTTTAGTAATACAATACCCCACCCACTACAAAGTGGGATAAATAAAACAATTATATGATAGACAGACAACTGGCTGCTTCAAAAGAAAAGGAAAATCAGGGGTGATGGTTATGCCATTAGCAAAATATCAAACAAGATTCTTAAAAGAAAAGAAGGGATTGCGGGAAGGGTATGACTACATCCAGCTGGGTATGGGGATCTTTCTGGGATTTGTTTAATCGCCAGTTAAGGGCTCCTGTAGAGCCACTGTGTGGAACAGTGGTTTGAGTGCTGGACTACAACTCTGGAGACTAGAATTCAAACCCTTGCTCAACAATAGAAACCCTCTGGATGACACTAGGCAAGTCACACTCTCTCAGCCTCATAGGATGGCAAAGACAAACCCCTTTTGAACAAATCTTGCCAGGAAACCCCTGTGATAGGGTCACCATAAGTCAGAAATGATTTGAAGGAATACAACAACAACAACGACTACTACAGATCCTGTATTAGAGTGGCTGTATACAACAGTACTTCTCCTTTAAATATGGGGGCTGGGGTGGATCACCATTCACAAAATGGCAGTGGGAACAGCTGTGGTGCTTTTCTATACCTAGCAATGTCACAGGCACTGTGGAACAAATGTCTGTGGCATTCATGCAACACACAACCCTTGTGGCTCTTATCCTAGTAATAGGACAGTTGCATAGAGAGAGATTAATAAAACAATAGGTTGTTTTCTGGGGTACGGCGTTCAGCCACAAAAAAATCCTCCTTCTCTGAACACTGGAAAAATTTAATGTCTCCCTAACAGACCTGCTAAATTGATGTAAAATGTCCAGGCCTTCTCTAAAAAATGTGTATCAACACGCATGAAGAAAAGAAGAAAAGACCTGCACAAAGATTTTTCAAAATGCTACAGCCAACCACTCAGACATAAGGGTTAAAGAATATGCTGAAGACAAAAGAGCTGTATTTACTTCAACACATTTCTAAATCTAGATCCTCTTCAGAGGCATTTTGGAAGATATAAATGGCTTTCTTTCTTTCTTTTTTTAAAGTGAAAAGTGAAAAGCTGAAATATAAAAGGTTGTAAGGGAAATAATTACAGCATGACAATTCATTTCTCTTAACATACATACTGCCCTATCATGCTGCACTGTACTTATACTATGACCCCATTCAGCAGAAGAGGGAACTGTCTGCTGGATTATGTAGAAATTAAATACTTTCTAAACATTTTGCCTGTGAAAGTACCCTAAAGCCTAAACCCAATAGTTGGTTCAACTAGAATATATATATTGCACCAGTGGGAGCTTGGTTAAATCAGAAAACATCCAGAGGTGGCCATGTTGGCCATATAGTTTTGATGTTGTTGGATTGGTTAAGTCAGCACTTAGTACAAAGATTCTACTGATTTAATACATCTGCCTTAGTGGGGACTAAACATTAGGTTTAGGCCTACCTGTTTGCAACCTTATAAAATATTGTTATTAAAATGACAATGGAAAGCACAAGAGGAGAACCATACAAGAAAATAACAGTTCATGCATTCAGTGAAATGGACCACAATCTACAAAAGCTCATGCCATAATAAATACAACAGTCCTTGATGTGCCACAAGGTTCTCTGCTGAATTCTTAAGAGTGCATCTGCACTGTAGAAACAATGCAGTTCGACACCACTTTAATTGCAATGGCTCCATGCTACAGAATCCTTGGATTTGTAGTTCTGTGAGGCATCAGCACCCTTTAGCAGAGAAGGCTACAGACCTTATAAACCTCCACAAATAGAAGAGGCTCCTCCTTTTGGCAAGTAGGGTGTTTGGAGTGCTGATATGTCCCAAGGACCTCTAAAGTACACATTGCCCTTTGCTAAGGAAACTTTGTCAGTAAGGCCTGAACACTTTTCAAATAAAACAAATGGAACCATGGACACCCTCTCTTATGGGAGGAAGTAAAGGAGTTCAATCAGGGGCACCATTAAAATTGGAACAAAACCTGTTTAGGCATTACAAAGCCCCATTATATCTGACCACCACTTGCAGGAATTGACAAGGCTGTGGAACACATTCAGGAATCCTCTGTAACATGCATATGCAAAAAAATGCCCCAACAGTGCATTTGGGATATGGGAGCTCAGGAATTCACTCAGCTAAATAGTTATGAAAGTCCTTAGACACAGAAGGGCTACTCTTTTATATTTTGAAGTAAATAAATACACCTTGCCATCCAAAGAGTGCGGAGACCATAAGCATTTTACTACACTACTTTGTTGTTATTGTTTTTAAAATGGAAATATTTGACTGAAAATGATGGAATGCAATGAGGGAAACTTT